AGCAGTATTGGCATAAACGTGGAAAAATAGATTATATTTCTTTCCGGCAATTTTCCGCTGAAAAATAGGAAAAATAATGGAAAAATAGCGCACTTTCGAAAAAATTATTTCCACTCGATCTGATGCAATCCGACGCAAATTCCGATATATTTCTGCCAACGAAGCTTTCTCAGATAGTGTTCAGCTACGCTGCGAAGGCTTCACATTCGGAATTAGTACTCTCTCGAATATCACTGTCCGCCTGTGGTACTCTTTTACCCTGGAGCATTCCTCCGTGTCTTCAAAGTGTCGTTTGCCGCGACGAAATCGTTGAGATTTCATGAAATACTAGGCTCTATGTATTCTTCGAGACAAAATCGATTACGATTCACTAGAACGCAACCCATTAAATCATGGTATTTATGTCATGAGTCAAAGTCGAGAACATTGTAAGCCACATTTTCTCTCATTATGAGAGAAAATGTGGCATACCATGTGATTCTCATACCCTTGCCACGAGTGGCTCGTGGATCAAGATTTGTCGGGCATATGCACAAAAGCCTTTTGTCAAGAGGTGTTGCCGAAGATGTTACATCTTAGATGTACTCTGCATAATAGTCGGAGATTTACTCACTTTGCCCGGGCATACATCGCTCGAGAGTTGATGGATTCCAGCGGAAAGAAAAGGCGAGAGATGGTGTTATTTTTCCCTATTTTTCCATCATTTATTTTTCTTGCAAATTTCCTTCCGGAAATTTCCGGAAGGAAAAATAGCGCAACCTTTATGCCAACCCTGCCCAGTAGGTTATTGGTCACGAGAGCACCATACTTGGTTGTTGATCTCCTCCAGAACTCCTCTCTAACTCTCGTAGGTGGAGCACGTTTACCCGAAATTGAGTCCACCACCTTCTTGACCTCCCCTTTTAAGCGCATCAGCGATACCACCCGGGTCACTTTTGAGTGTCTGTAGCGCTCGCTACTTCAGGAGAGAGCCTCTTGTAGAAAGTCGCCAAGAGCGTGTCATTGGTCAATAATCCTTCAAGATCGGTCACCCTGTCGATGTTCTTACCATGGAGTGTGTCGACTGCTCTAGTAGCTAGTTCAATGGCACAGTCGGCTCCTGGTACTCTCATTTCGGCTATGCACGTATCCCACAGCGTGCTAGTTTCGACACAAACTCTGTCGCTGACTCAATCCCACCGAATCCTCATACTGAGGGTTGGATCCGCGCTCGAAGATATTTTCCCTATTTGGGATTCCAAATCCCAAGCCTCTCAGCGAGAGGCTCTCACTAATAATACCGTTAACTGGGTCCTCGCACTGAGGATAGCGTCTGCACTCGAAAATGCGTTCTCGAGCCTCTCGCTAACAACTTTGCCAACTAGACACTCTCACTGAGGACGGGATCAGCTTTGCTGACGCGTTCCTGAACCTCTCACTAACAATATGGTCAACTAGGCCCTCACCACAAGGATAGGATCGGCGCTCAATGACGCGTTCCTAAACCTCTCACTTATAACACGGCCGAACCGGCACTCTCACTGAGGAAAGGATCTGCGCTCGATGACGCGTTCCTAAGCCTCTCACTGACAATAGGCCAACTCGACACTCACACTGAGGAAAGGATCTGCGCTCGATGACGCGTTCCTAAGCCTCTCACTGACAATAGGCCAACTCGACACTCACACTGAGGAAAGGATCTGCGCTCGATGACGCGTTCCTAAGCCTCTCACTGACAATAGGCCAACTCGACACTCACACTGAGGAAAGGATCTGCGCTCGATGACGCGTTCCTAAGCCTTTCACTGATAATAGGCCAA